GAATGCTACGTGTATTGTGTTATGTTGTTGCGTACGCCAGCGTATCCAGAAGTCTAAACTTGAGAGCCCACATGATTCCATATTTGTTGGTTGACTCCACTATAGATTCACTAGATGTTCTCCACACCATATTCAGATACTTTGTTTTCATGGAAGTGCACAGACGCCTTCTCATGATGTTGCCTCATGATGCTGCCTTTGGTCCCCCGCTTCTGGGGCTCCCGCGATACTCTCAAAACCACAAAGCCATCGATCGCTTCGATTGGGGGACTGGGGCCAGTTGAAGCGAGTTCAATCCAGACCTCCAGCGGCCAGGGAGAAACTCCCATGCAAAAAGCACAAAGAGGCTGGGGCTGCAAACATATGGCTGCGGCTCAACAAAGTGGTGCCAAAATGGCACCAAACGGTAAATGCAACCAAAGACTAAAATCCGGCGAAACCCCAGCTCTTTAATTTGAGCCATATGCTGCAGTGTGGACTAAACATGGAAAAGAAAGAGTCGGAACATCAGTTTTTTTTGTGTACCCCAGATCAAAGAAAAAAAGTGGAAGAGGGTACTCGCCAGACGCCACGCTTGCGCCACGCCTTCCGCACCAAGAACTTCCCCCAGCGGGACGAGGCCGCAGCGGGTGAGGAAGCCTCGCACGTTTTCCAGCAAATGCCAGAGTGGTGTTTTCCGTTTGGGCATGACCGGTTAAAGGCAAATGCCGGAAAAAAGGAGTTCCCTGAAAGCATCTTAAAGCCAACTACCGAGCACGTTGCGTTTTTTCTTGTTATCATAAGTCCACTGGATCTGGGGGGCAAGTTCGCAAAGGATGGATCGGGGTGGTTTCCGAAAACCCGTGGCAGGTTTTCTTTGGATCCCTTGTTTGGGTGTGGTGAGCATGTGGGAAGGACCTACTGTGGATGGTTGCGAAATCCGCTTCTCGCACCACGAAATGAAGCCATGCTTGAAATCAGAACGTTTGTTTGGTGGTTGGAGGCGAATCATCGTAAACCAGGATTTCTTAGGTGGTGCGAAATGAATTTCAAGCATCCACGGTAGTGAAGCCTGCGGAAGTAATATTGTCCTTAAATGTCACAGACCGCCGGGCCCGCCGGATGGCTGGAAAAAAGCACACTGGTTGTTGCTTGAGGCGGAAAACACCAACCAAGAATGTTTTCGAGCATGGTTTCCAACTGGTGCGAACGGATTTCGTTCATCCATGTAGCCGATGGTCATCATCTTGAGGGCTTTGTTTATTGCAGCCGCCAGCATCACTGACACATTGCTCTTCCCTTGCCCCTAGTTTTGCCGCCCAAGTCGCAAATAGACAGGTTTGTCTTTGCCTTTTTTCAGGGTATCACTTGTTTGCGGCAAACCTCAGTCTTGGAGGTCCCCCAAAGGAAAAGCGCGCAGAGTGGTCACCTTTTCGGCTCTGAATCGCTGTCTTGCGCCAGGACTTTGCCCGGCACAAGGACAAGTACGCGGTGACGCTGAATGTGCGCCAGCTCAGACGTTGCATTTTCCGCAGAGAGGCGGCTGGTTTGCAGCTGTGTGTGCGTGCGCGTGTTTTTTTCCTGTCCGGAGACATGTTTGTTGTCTGGCGTTCGATGCGATGAACGATCCGAACACTGTTGTTACAAAGTGTCGTCTTAGAGTGACTCAGGGCTAAATCGCCCTTGCGTCATGCCTGATCAAGCACTCCAAAAGGACACAAGCAGGAATCCACAATGAACGTGATATGCACAATCTGAATCATCACATTCCAGTTGTTTTCATCTACAAATAGATAACCATGAAGTAAACAAGTTCGTGTGTAGAAGGCAAGAACCACACGAGACCATGACCACGACTTGTTGCGAGTTCCCTCGAGGTCTGCCTGCGGAGGAGCGAGGACCTGCAGGGCTCCAGGCGTGCAACATGACAGCCCCCAGCCTCCAATCCTTAGTTGGAGTGGTTTAGGATTTGAACTAGTCGAAAACCCTGTTTGAGCCTCCAGGGTCTTCTTCTTCGCCAATGACACGGACCCGCCCATCTACTGCCACGAGCATCAGGCAGGGCGGTGTGAGACAAGAAATGAGGCACGTCCTAACCAGAAACAGGTGCGGAGAGTCACCCTTTTCTGGGGGTAACTTCCATTTCCATTCTTTCCAGAGATCAAAACCTCCGGAAACCCAGGGAAAATAGCTGGTTTTTGAAAAGAAGGATGGTTGAAAAGAATGGGGAATCAACCCCTAGACCTTTTGATGCTTTACACCGCGTTGTTTAGACCAAGTTTGATTACTCAACATGCGCGGCTCACAGTGAGGCTCACAGTTTCTTCGAAGTCTAAAAAAAACAACCGAGGTGTACCCTCGTCGTGCGGAACTCCAAACTTTTCTGTGGAACTCTCCCTCTTGGGCTCCTAACTGTTGGGTTCCCTCGCGACTAACATAGAACCAGAGAAATGGTCGGAAGAGATTTCCAAGCCAATCCCGTTTCGCCGGAAGCCATGTGGATGTCAGGGCAATTTGATATTTGTTTCTTCCGTTTTTCCTTAACAAGACGTGGTATTTTCCTGTTCCTCTGTGGTTTTTTCAGGGAGTCTATCACTGGATATGGCTGTGGGTCAAAACCAATGGTACCATTTTGGGGCGCACCACCCATTTTAGAGCCTATTTTAGTGGTTGGATGTTCACTGGGGGCTAACCGGGCTTTTGACCCATGGCCATATGTTGTTCCAGGGGACGAAGCCGGCTCAGCGCCCTGGCGCGCTCAGCGACAGGTGGAGCTTAGTGCTCCCAGATTTGAGGGGTTCTTGCGGGGATTCGAGGGGTTCTTCTGGTAGGGTCCCTGAATGTTTCTTTCTGGTGGTTGTCAATACTTCGGGCTTCCCTTCTGGTGGTTTTCAACACTAGTTCGACTTGGGGCCGGCATGTTTCCTTTGTTCTAAGAGGAAGCATAGGGAATTTTGATCCGAGAACTCGGATCGCATGGCCAGCGGCTTTCCTGTCTCCTCCACTGTCACCAAGGGCATGGAGTGGGGAGAAGATGGCTGTGGGTCCATGTACGCCCCATTTTGAGCTTCCATGAGCTTCCCATTTTAGTGGTTGGATTGGGTCCCGTTCACTGAAAACCCCCTCTTTGGGTTTTGAACAGCCCATGGCCATCAGTTTGCCAGGTGGGCCTCGCGGTACTGCACTCCTCTAAGGACCGCTCGGATGCGGGCGGCTGCGGATGCGGATGCGGGAAAGTCGAAAGGGCCGGTTCTGGAAGTGTGGGATCGTCCATATGTGTCTTTAAACGGAATCACCAAGACAAATATGTTGTTCGAGATGTTTTGTTTGTTTGTTTTTCCCTTATTGTCTTTAAACGGAGTCACCAAGACATATATTGTCCAAGTTGTTGTTTGAGGTTTCCCTTGATGGGTTGTTTTCGAGGGAAAACAAAGAATATCACCCTTCTCTTCCTTGTTTCTTGTGTCTTTTTTTTGGAGGGGGGGAGGGGGGGTTCCCCTATTTCAAGACACCCCCATTTGGGGTTGCCCTTTTCTATGACGTGTATATGAGGAAGCAGGGATGTTGATTTGAATCCCTGGCATGGGCAGCTGCAACTGCCCAAGCCATTCGGCAGGCCGAGCAGGACTTGTGAGAGGTGTGGGCTATCCATGACCAACCAATTCACGAAAGGCTAGTTGGGGGAGTAGTTGTACTCTTTGCCTTCCCCACTCGGATCTCGGGCTAAGTGTGTGGTCAGCTTGGGTTCGGCCTGCAGGCCCTGTCCATCGCCTCTGAAAACTTTTTTCTTGTTTTTGCTTTGAAGTGCCTCGAATGTCTTTCTGGCAGAGTGCGGAGAAGGCTTGGGTGATTGGAGCCTCACCACTGTGCATGTTAAGTGAGATTCATGCAGCTGATGTTTAACTTCTTGACAAGCGGTTTCTTTGTTGCATTTTCTTTGGATGTTAGGACTTCAACTTTTTGCCAACGAATGGGTTTTCCATTAAATCACTAGAAGTTAAACTTTTAGCAGGGGAGCAGAAAGCAACCAAGTTTTAGCTGGACCACTGCGGTGCGCCAGCTGAGAGCCGAAAATTGATTTGCGCACCTTTCTGTGCACGTGCTGGTCAAACAGGATGGTTTCCTTTCAACTCGACCGCATCTCAACAGGAATCTCAGGTTCCCCTCGCCAAGTGGATTGGTGGTTTGGAGGTTTGAACGCCTGGTTCTTGTTGATGGAAAACGAGAAGCTACCCCCTTACTTCCAAACAACCAAGCCAAAAAACACCACTTCGGGGAAGCAGAATCTTATTTCTGGAGCTCTTTTGCAGTTTCTCCATGTTGTGAGGATTGCACAAATGGTTGGTTCAGCATGGCTTACCTTCAACAAATACCACAAAGGGTGGTGAGAGGCGCTCTCTAGTTTTGATCACACCCCAGTGCGCTGGCGGTAGCTAGGGATAGTCATCAATCCCTCAGGGATTCCAAACAGCCGGCCACCAAAGGTTTTGCAGATTTTTGAGCCTTGGCAGCCATGGTACATAATTTGGGTTTGTTCCAGAGTAGGGTGCCCCCTTTTAGATGTTTCAAGACAACCAAAAGGAAGCCAACATTCTGGAGCCTACCTTTTGGACCACTCTGTTTTTTGTCCCTTCAAAGAAGTTTTTTTTTCCTTGAATTCGGTTTTTGGAACCTGCTTTCGTTCCCTTAGACTTGCCTTTGGTTTCGCAAGGGGTCTGGCTTTCCAAGCGGTGTGGAAAATCGGGTTGGCCAACACTCCATTTTGAACAGCCGACTGTTCTGTTTGCGTTTTGCGTTTTCCTTCCCTTTCAACCAGCAGCACATTCTGTTTATGGGTCGGATCCGTGCTAGGAGTGGCACCAGACCGAGGAGTGTTACCAAGGTGAGCGCGGCTCCTTGATTCTGTGGTACGACTAGGGCGTTTTCGCGCCGCGGAACAAAAATGCTCGTCTCTCCCTAGTGAGACATTCAGCCTTTGCCTCACGTAGTTTTGGTTTTGTCTCAAAATCGGGAGCCCCCCTTTACACTTCTGTAGATGGAGCCAAGTCTTCCTGGAAGCGGGTAGGCGGTGGTTTAGAGGAAGCCAAACAGAAACCTTAATTTGTTAGGGTTCCCGCATTTCGAGACACATTCTTTTGGGGCATAATTCGGCCATAAACAGCTTGGACTTTGTGTATAGGGATTCCTGTTTCAGAGCCAAAATAATCTGAATATCACATGGCTTGAACTTTGCTTGGCCAAACTCACCTTTGCCATCGGCAAATACGCAGTTCCTGGACTATGTAGAGAATCATTTAGCTTATTCGGGTCAAAGAACCCAGGTTGAAGATCCAGTTCCGTTGTTCGAGCTCATGCAACCTTCAGCACGCAGAGGGTTGGGCTGAAAATTGGTTTGTCCAATCTGACTTCCTAGCGGCTCTCAAGGAAGCTGAGCCCTGCATGTCGAAGTGTTGTTATGTTCAGTTCCAATGGAGCCACCGACTTGAATTTCGGTATGGCCCGCCTCACGGACAAAGACCATGTGGGGCAGAGATTCATGGAAGTCCGAGCTGAAGAATCCCTGAATCAACGTGGGTATGGGTCAAAATTAAACCACCAGAGGACCGCGGGTTTTAGTCTTTGTTTCCATTTACTAATTTACCCGGGTTCCATTTTTGGGTACCTATTTTTCACCCACATCCACGTATCAATCAAGGGGGGCAGTATGCAAGAGATTCATCCATAAACTCGCCTAGGCAAAAAATATGCTGTGCTTGAACCCAGATTGCTACTCTTTGGCAGGGGGGGAAAGAACTTGACCATGGCGCACAGTGCCCTGCTGGCAGAGCTGTACAGAGCTCGCGACCAAATTCGGCCGGGGAGGTTTCGACGTGGCTCATCTTTCTTGGGATGCGGAAGATGTACAGCGCGAGGAAAACATCGGCGCGGCTTTTTTGGTTATTCAAGCACAAGACTTTTAGCGGTGTTGGAGTGGGGGTTTCCCTTGCACGGGTCGACGGGGGGGGGGGGTCCCCATAACCGCTGGAGGTTTCGGGAGAGGTGCATTGCGTCTGCGGCTGGCCATCAACTCAGGACCTGGGAAGCCTAAGTCACTTGAGTTCCTGGACTTTAGTCACTTGGGTTTGGACTATTTTAGAAGACTGCATTTGGTGTTTCTTTTTCTGGGTAAGAAACAGTTCGTGGACTTGAAGCTTTTTGAGAAGACCATATTAAATGAGAAACAACCAGTTTGGTGACTTTTGTTTGGCCCATCCACGGAAGTGACCTGATCCCCCCCCGCGCAGGCCACAGTCGCGACGATGGGATGCCAAGGCGGGACGTGCGGCCCACGTCCGATGGGCCGAAGCCAGATCTCCGGGCTCAAGGTTGCTTCCATTTGCTTAAGACGATGCATGATTGATTTTCCCCGGTTAGCTTTGACGAAAACTATCAAGGTTTGTTTTTCCCCGGAGACTTAAGCAAATGGCAGGTTGGGTCCCGTCGGATAGGATGTATGAATTCAGATGCCTCAAAACAGTACGGAATCCCCCACTGTAAGTTGGTGAATTCGCCAAAGAAAAGTGTAAAGTCAATATTCCATGCGTGGTTGCCCAATTACATGAAGCCAGGGTACCATGAAACCAGAATGTGGTACCATAGTGATTCTAACGATATGTATAGTGCCTACGGTACATCTCAATCCTCCACTCGGACCGGTGGTGGTTTGGTTTGGTATCCCATTGAATCAGTCTCTAAATTCCTAATGTGGTGGAATTCCCTGACATACTGCCACGTCGAGCGACACGCCATGCATGTGGATGCAGGCCAAGGATGTGGTGGAGGAAGACAATGACGAGGACGCTGAGAGCGAGGACGTTCCGACCTCAGCGAACACATATGCCGCTACGCCCTTGCCCGTTTTTTAGTTTGCTGTGGTTCAGCATAGCATGCCACGTAGCGGTTGCTTTCCCGCACAGGGCGAGTCGTGGTCACGCAAGGAAGAGTTCGTGCCAAGGACTTTCAGCTTTGTCCACAGGCAGAGGCCGACGGTTCGGCGCCGAATGGTCCAAATGTCGCTCCAGAAGATATTAGCACCCGGCCCTGGCAGGCTGTTGGAAAGCTGCTTGATTTCATCATCTATCGATGCGGCCATGAGGAAAGGACATCCTTTGCGAAGAGCAGCCGACACATCTCAAGCCGGACATCGGTTCCGAACCTGTCGCATTGCTTCCTTTGGGTGTCCCTTTGCACATGGCTTGCCCCCGTCTTTGAGAGGTCCACGTGTGATTCGAGCACAGTCCGGTGTGCCACGCGCAAGCAAGGCGTTATTTGTTAGCAATCAGTCCACTGCCCGGTAGGCAAGAAGCAACCCGACCTTCTACAGATGGTACCATCCAAAACCATGGCTTCCATTTGCTTAAGCCCCCTGGCAAAACCAATCATATGTCCAGTAGTGATAGATTCCCTTTAAACCCATCAGCGGAACATAAATCATATTCATTGCAGCACATGGAAGGGTGTATCTCAAAATGCGGACCCTCC